GTCAATCATCATCACCATCATTATTATTATTTTTTAGCATTATAATTGTCGTCAATCATCATCATTATCATCATTATCATCATTATCGATTTTACAAATATAATAGAATTTACGTGATCACACTAACTCTAGTCTCTTCGAGAAAATAATAATAGTTTTTTGGTTGGCATTAAAGTACGAATAATATAGATGATAAGTGACTGTATGTATGTATGTAAGAGACTGGACCGATAGGATTTTATATCATTGATGTTTTTTTCAATATCAACGAATGCTACTGCTGCTGTTGCTGCTGCTGCTGCTGCTGCTGCTGCTGCTGCTGCTGCTGCTTCATTTTTCTCCCTCATTTTCAGACGGATATTTTGTAAGTAATGTACCTTCCTTCTTGATTTGAACGAGAGACGCATAAGGGTAACAATATTTGCACTCTCTCCGTCCAACGGCAGGATTGTACGGAGATTGGAAAGATGGGCTATACGGATATCTCGTAACTCATATCATAAACACTCGCTCGATCTGGCGTTGGTGTAGTAGGCCTTTGCGACCTTGGATCATTAGGAGCCGATACCATTTCCATAGAATCCGTCATTTCTAATGCTCTTACAAATGACATCGGTCTACGTCTGGTATCACCGGACGTTGGGGTAGTAGGCGTAGCCATCACAGCCTTTCTTTTAACTTGTGGTGATTGCTGATGTGGTGGCTGATGCGGTGGGAAGACTGGGACACCACCTCTCATAGCAGGATGATACGCTGCTCTTGGAGCCGTAGTATAAGATTGTTGCGTAGGACTAGTTGGATTCGAGCGATAATAATCATAGGGCGGCGGTGGTCTTTGTGAAGGAGACTGATGTGCTGTGGTCGATGATGCGCTTCCTTGTTGAACTTGGTAGCTGCCTGGTGAATTATCTTTCCACATATAGGCACCACGCTGTGGGGATCCTGCAAGTTCTCGAATGTTGTCAACGGTATTGTTGGTTCTTGAATACGAATGATCGGCACCCTGACGGACGAGCTCGCTCTCCGATAAAAAACGTCGTTGCGGACTATAACCGGTAACGACGGTACCGCCTGCACCAACACCAATACTATTTCCCTGTTGTACGTCATAATACGTTGGTGCTTCATTCACTCCTATAAAGTCCGGCCGACGAACCTGCGTCGGTGTACCTGGATTGGATCTGTAACATAGATTGACCGTTTCGGTTTCTGAGCTTATCAAACGATGCGATGAATTTGATAATAATCGACAAATGCACAAGTACAGTGAATCAATATTAATAAATATATGCGAGTGCTGAGCATTGTAGCCATACAAATACGGCTCTGGCGAGACATACAGGAAGAGAGAGAGCAGCGCGTCATTCCTGTTAAGAAATTAGCATCTATCGAAGGAAAGTAAAACATATAGCGAACCTAAGAAATACATGTAAGTGTATAACGTGCGTGTGTCGCTTGTGTATACGTGTATGTATGTATCATATGTAAAAGAACTTGTTGGTAATAAATTTCTTTTTTCTTTTTTTTTTTTTTTTTTTTTCCTTTTCTTTTTTCTTTTTTTTTTCTTTTTTTTTTTTTCAAAATTCTTTTAAATGCAATCTTTATAAATCATTATGCAAGTAAGCACAATTGTAAACTACGATATTTCCTCGTAGGATGAAGTTCGTGTTTACCTGCAGTAGGTTGCAACATGATGGCAGAGAGCAGCTCCTTGCAGTTACCACCCCCTGCAGTGGGACACAAACTTATCTATATACCATATATCTTGTAATATGTACATGCAAAGAAACTAACCTTCTACAATCTTATTGTGAACTACATCGCACAATCGTCTTTTTGACGGGTTCCTTCGTTTAGAAGGACGGTGAAAAGAGTGGTGTAAGAAAAGGAGGAGTAACAAGAGCAAGAGTGAGGTGTTTAAAGTGAAGGGGGGGAGGGAAAAAAAGGAGTTTTGTAAAATAAGGTGAGACGCTTGAAATATAGGTGACAAGAGGTATGTTAATAATAAAAAAAAAAAAAAAAAAATAAAAAAAAAAATAAAAAAAGAAAGAAAGAAAGAAAGAAAAAAAAAAAGAAAAAAAAAAAAAAAACAGAAATTATCCATTTTATATTGGCAGCGTGCTTGAAAGATGCAATATAACTATTACTAGTGTGGCGTTTCCCTCTTGCTCTCTACATTGAGATAATTTTTGTGCAATGAGAAAAATGTTACAAGTCTTATTAGTGGAAAGTTAATATTTTCATTGATAGTAGTACATTCCAGTTATTAGTTATTCCAAGATTGAAATTATTGATGAGAATTTTTTGTTTTTTTTTTCTTTTTTTTTTTTTTTTTCCCAATTTAGTATCCATTAAGATATATCATTGTTATTAAGAAAATTGATTTTTAGTGAACTTCAATTATATATAACTCTGCATTTAATGTCCCTGAGTTGGGAGCTGTAGGCACAACCATGTATTTAGATTCAATAATATAATTAAAAAATTTGAGCATACCTGCGTATGGGACTGGAAATGGCAAGTGGTGTAGGTACTCCAATAGCTTTAATACGTTGTTGCATTGTTGGACTGGCACCACCTTGACCCTGATTTCGTTGAGGTGCTGTAGCAGGAGAACCAGTTACTTCCGGTGATAAAGGGTCCGGTGTGTGACTACGCGATCCATTCATCCCCCTATTAAAAATGAATGAAATTACAATCGTATATCAATAAAATCCATTGACGATAGAAAATGAGTTTCTGCATTCATAGTTTTGTTTCTATTCTTTTATTAATTTTTACCTTGGCTTTGGATGAGGACTGCCTCTAGGATAATGTATTGGATGACGATGTTGTGGTGGTTGAGGATGCCTAGGAGATTCATTACTTTCGACGGGTGGTAAAAAGAAATTGCTTTTAGAACCATGTCTTTGTAAGGGCGGCGTAGGTTCACAATCTGCTGATTGAGATGCAGTTGGTTCCATATCTGTGTCTGAACCATCTCGACCAGGGGATAACTATAAACGATAATTATAAAGTATATCTTAGAAAATGAACGTAATTATATTATATTATGAGATAAATATTCATTACAATTATCATACATAGTAAATATTCTGCAGGCAGAGGCATTAGTTAGGATGGACAGGAATAGACATACAAATAAAATCAACACCTTTCTGCTATCTGAATTGGAAATTGGTAATGGAAAAGGAATCTTCACTTGTGCTCGTAGTACTCTAAGGACATAAATTACAAGATTAGATGAAATTTTAAAAATGTTTTAGGTATGGATGATCACTTAGTTAAGAATTTTAAACGAATACATTACGGATTAATAATTTACAATGATTTTGAAACCAAGCTTATAGCTAAAATTATACAAACTCTATTAGTTTTCTAAGAAGAGGATGTAACTGGAGCCAAATGTAATAGGAATTCAACTGTGTATTGTGTACATCTACTGTGTAAAGTAAGCACATTGCAGAAACAGCGTCAAGAAGCATGCCAAGGAAAAGAGACCATTGCCTTAATAATGTTTCTTCTTATATACAGAAGCAAGAAGTTCTCAGCAAAGTTGCACTAGCTCTTACCTTATTGTAAGCATTTGAACTGGCATTTCTAACACCATTGCTGCTATCCATGTAGGTTTTTACCTGGTTCTCACTGTCTATGGTAGATATCTCAGATGTACATGCACCGCGCCGCTTTCCTGAATATTTATCAGGCTTAATTAAACTGTAAATTAATGAATAAATAATTAAAAAAAAAAAAAGAAAACAATATTTATATGTAAACGTAAGATGGATAAAAATGAAGTGATATATCACCTTGGGTATTGTGGTCCAAATTGCGTATACCAACAATTTTGTAAACATCCTTTTGAGAAAGGATTGTAACCTCCATTAAACTTGCCTGTTACCTGTTCATTTGTTGTTCTTCCTCTAGAAACAAGTATTACGTGAAAGCCTGTCAATCCAAAAATTGGAATAAACAGCAATATTACCACACCCATTAGCACAAGTCTGTATTTAAATTAAGGAATATATAACACTTGAAAGGCAATATTTCAAGAGCTTCATTTAAAATCATATATAGACATTATAAAGAAATTTATTGACAGTATCATGAAAGGATACGCAACAATTGTGTCCACTTCTCCTAATTGTTGTTTATGCTCCAATACGAAATACAAACAAAGTCCAAATATACTAAGCATATGACAGCTAAGGGACAGAAGGAAAAAGAAAAAAAATCTGTAATTTCTTCTGCCAATGCAATTGTTGACCCATGGGCAGTGATGATCAAATGTCTAAAAGTATAGGGGGGGAAGAAGAGAAAAAAAAATAAAAAAAAAAAAAATAAAATAATTAAAATTAAGTTTAATACAAAAAGAACACATATGTATATATGTACATATACAATCTTACCTCGATACAATGGTTGCAAACACTACAATGGCTACAACGAGGTGGTCTATAAAATTTGCATGTAACACACCATTTCATGCGCACTGTAATCCCATTGATCTCAACACTCTTATACAATGGAGCCCTGAAGTCATCCTCTCGATCTTCGTCAGGAGGAGCTTTAAAAAGAGAAATATTGTACAGATAAAATCTGTCATTAATAAATAAATCATTGTAAATCATGTTTTAAGTCAATACGATTAAACTCTAAGAAGGGTTTATGTACCTTTCGGTATAACACCTGGATCCATGAATGTTGCCAAAGTAAAATTCGTCAGTACAAAGAAAGTTATAACTCCTTGAAGCGCTGGCACCCACGTACCCCACCGAAATACATAATACTGACACCTGTATATATTATAAAGACAACGTATGTTTAATTATAAGGAATAATAAATATTATCGACGTATATGATAAAGAATAAATAAAATAATAACGTTCTGTCGTGATAATCGTTTGACACGATAAAACGAAGTATAACTTACGGGAAGCAAAAGAAAAGTGTCGTAGTTACGAGTAGAACTGTCCACGCGAACATTGCTGGTAGATATCTTGTTTTCACATCGCATTTCGGCATTCTGCACGTTCCACTTCGTGGTTCAAAATTCCTGAATTATTAATGGGCAAGATTTCTGCTACCAGGAAACATGGCCGCGTCCATCGGTGCTACTTGTTTGCAAGTTGTAAGATCTATGATTAACGAGGACTCCCATTTTCTCTTTGTTTTGACATTCGTGATACGTTCTTGATCACACCTTCCATCACATGAGTGTTACTCCGGCAAAAACATTCGTAATGTAATTAATATTTAGGCGCTTATGCTTGCATGAACCGTGAACACACTACCTCGCTGTGACATACATATATGTATATGTATATATAACTATATATAGGACTTATATGTCCGTGAATAGAGCGAATTGTATCCCACTCTAACCAGTGTGTTCGGTAATTCGATGAAATTTTATCGTCGGTGGATTTCTAACCAAACTTTTCTCATAAGAATACGATCAATTTCTAAAGGTTTATTCATAATGTACATATATACATATCTATATATATATATATGTATATATTAAAAATCATTGACATTTGATTCAGGAAAAAAAAAGAAAAAAGAAAAAGAAAAAATGAATATTATCTGTTTTAACAAATCTTTTTGAAAACTATATAAATTGTCTTTAATGAAATTAGGACTTAATTGCGCGTTTTTAATTTCAACCAATCACAACTAAGAAATTTTATCTTTAGCCAATCGTACGACATAGTTGAATGTAATGTTTAATATTATAACGAAATTATTATTAACTTCGGTATACATATTAATATTCGTATTCTAATAAAAGAATAATTTTCATTTGATAACAACGTAATGCGATATATTAAAGGAAGATTTTATTTTTTTTTTACTTTTTGTGAGATATGATTGCTTCGTAATTAGTTCAATAAAATACATGGACGTGGCCTTGGTTTAGCGCCGCCATTCGCCATTGTTGGTTGTAGCAAAAAGAGTTTACAAGTTTACTTTTATAGGAAGAAGTATTAATTTTGGGCATAAAATAATACGAAAATTTAATTGAGGATAAATATGTAAGTAGAGTTTTTATATAGTTTTTTTTTTTTACACGATCGTATTTAAAATTGTAACGATTAAAATTTAACCTATCTATATACGCCATTTGCGGCTATTGTATATAGGGCTCGTAGCCGGAAAGATAGTACTGGCAAAAGCGATTCCGAAGCTACGGATAAGGAAAGTAAAAGGGAGAGAGGTAGAGAAAGAGAAAGAAAAAAACGTGCAGCTTCCTCGTCGAGCAGCGGTAGCAGGTAATTTTTTTGTTATTACTATCATTTTATGTTAAGACTTTAAATTAAATAATTATATTGATACGTATATGATTGTTTAGTTCATCGGACAGTAGTTCTGGATCGTCCAGTTCTAGCAGCGGTAGTAGCTCTAGATCGAGCTCTTCCTCTAGTACTTCTTCCAGCACTTCTGGAAGCTCTTCCGGAAGCTCCAGAGATAGAGGACGTAAAAGAAGTCGAAGTAAGAGCGTTGATGCTTCTAGAAGACATGATAATAAGGAAAAGGAAAGAGAGAAAGATAGGGACAGAGAGAGAGAAAGAGACAGGGATAGGGATAGAGAAAGAGATAGAGATAAGGACAAAAAGAAAAGTAGTAATTCTGTTGTTGATAAGCCTAAACCTAAAGGACGCTCTAGGTAATTATTATTATCCATCCTTTTATATACGTCAAATGAATATAAAAAGGACATAAAAAAATAAAAAATAAAAAAACAGAAGAAACAAACATAAAAAAGAAAAGAAAAGAAAAATGAAAATAATGAAATTAATACTCTAAACGTTATGATTTTATTTATCTCTTATAGATCTCCATCTCCACGTCGTAAACGTAGAGAACGTTCTCCCATTCCAAGGCCAACAAAGATACATATTGGGCATTTAACAAGAAACGTTACTAAGGAACACATTATGGAAATATTTTCAGCATATGGTCAGATTAAAATGGTTGACTTCGCTATGGATAAACTTCATCCTAATCAAGGACGTGGATTCGCTTATGTCGAATTTGAAACAGCCGACGAAGCTGAAAATGCTATGAAACATATGGATGGTGGTAAGTAAAAAAGTTAATATATTAATATATATATATATATTAATACGTTGAGCGCCACGCCGATTTTGAAGGCAGTCCCCGTCAGACCACGCGCGCCACTTAGAAGCGCTGGTATTGTAGGGCTGGTATGTCTCTTATCACAGTAGAAGAGTGTTTATGTTTAGAACGAGACGCCTATAGGCATTCATTCATTCGACACGTTACGCGCCAAGTCTGTTTTGTTTTCATTAATGGATTCGTGGCAGGTGTTCCTATTACGAATAAGCAATCTATTGCAGTTTTTGTCCTTGTGCAGACAAAAATTTTCTTTAGCCCTGAGCGTCGAAATGTCAGTCCGAGAGTACGAAAGTGACAACAGCAGTGAAATAAGGTTTCCTAAAAAACGGCCTAGAGTGGATATATTTTTATCATCTGAAGAAGGGTAGGAGATTGTTGGAAAATGGCATGACCCGAGGGGCAATCAGCCTAAGATTGTGCCATTTACACATCCTTCTGGGTTTGTAAGTGAAAACTTGCATATAGGATCAAATATACCAATAGAAACCAGCTATCTATTATTTGTACCAGATGAATTGTTCGAGAAAATTGCCGAACAAAGAAACTTATATGCAGCAAAGAAATTAGAAGGTGGACACGTGCATCGCTTAACAATGTGAACAGAAACAAATAAGTCTGAAATAAAGAGATTTTTTGGACTAATTCTATGGATGGGATTAGTAAAACTACCAGCTATACATCAATATTGGTCCAATGATCTTGCCTATATGCAAACGTTCCCAAAAAAAGTGATGTCAAGGAACAGATTTGAACTGTTACTAAGAATGCTACATTTTGTAGTCAACCAAAACAGTAATGGTTCCAATCATTTAATCAAAATACAACCAATTATAGACTTTTTGAAAACCAATTATCAAAAATATTACAATCCATCCGAGGACATATGTATCGATGAATCCCTTTCGTAGCCGCATTATATTCAGGCAATATTTGAAACAAAAGCGCCACAAATATGGAATCAAAATATTTCAATTGTGCTGTGGATCGGGATATACGTATGCTCTCCGTGTACATATATGCAGGGAAAAATTTAGAAAGAGAAAACACTATGCCCACTAACATCGTAATGTCTCTTTGCAGAGATCTATTCCATAAGGGACACACGTTATACACTAATAACTGGTACACGAGCCTAGAATTAGCGGCAAAATTGATCCAAAAAAACATCCATTTAGTGGGAACATTGCGTTTAAATAGACGAGGAAATTCGCAGCAAGTTATATCAAAAAAATTAAAACGAGGAGAAAAAATCATAGCGAAAGAAAATAATCAAGGAATAACCATTTTGAAGTGGAGAGATAAAAAGGACATCCTAGTTCTATCGACAAGGCACTCGTCAGAAATGGTGAATATTCAATGCCAAGTTCAAGCCACAAATTATAACAGAGGAAAGGCAGCTGTCGATTTATCCGACCAAATGAACTCCTACAACAATTGGTTACGCAAATCCACAAAATGGTATAGAAAACTAGCCTTTTAGAACTATTATTGAATACTACGGTTGTAAATAGTTACATTCTATACAAAGATATTACGAAGCAGAAAATTAGCATTATAGAATTCCGGGAGAAATTAGCAGTATATCTTACAAATTGTGAAAAAGAAGACATTCCATCGGACAATATTGCAAGAAGATCTAAAAAATAAGACCAACTCTAAAGAAAACCTGGAAACATTTCCAAAGTACGAAGATATTCTAAATCATGTTACGATAAAAATGTAACAAAAGATAGTAGAGAAATGGCCAGGAAAAAAACTAAGCGAGTTGTCACATTTTGTAATACATGTAAAGGAGAACCATTTTTATGTTTACCGTGGTTCAATGAAATCCACTAATCCTGTAATGTGTGAAAATTAAGTAAATTTTGAATAAATTTTCTGCAATTTCATAAAACAGTGTAAATTTTATATAGTTCTATATCATGTTATACACTGTCAGTCAGCGGTGGTTGACGTGGCGCTCAACGTGTTAATAATTGATCCTATTAGTAGTTATTAAATGATAAGAACATTTATATATTTGTAGGACAAATCGATGGACAAGAAATTACAGCTGCTCCTGTATTATTGCCAAAACCAAGACCAATACCAATGCGTAGAATGTCACCAGTCATGGGAAGACGCGTACCATTACGATGGGGAGGAGGTAGAAATACTCCCCCGCGTTATCGTAGACGTTCACCCCCAATGAATCGACGTAGAAGTCCACGCCCACCTAGACGCAGACCTAGAAGTCGTTCCCGTAGTCCACAAAATAATCCACGGCATCGACATCGTCGATACACAAGATCCAGTTCAAGCAGCTCCCGATAACACTTTCTTTGTATATATAAAAGTTATGAACCGAATTTGACTGAAGATGATTTATCGGATTGCTCACTTTGATATAACAAACAAACAAAAAAAAAGAAAAAAAAAAAAGAAAAAAAAAAACAAAAAGAAAGAAAAAAAGGAAAAAGAAAGAAAAGAAAAAAGAGCAAACTCAACATCTACGATGAATTGTGCATACAGAGTACTCATAGGTATATTGTATTTGCTATCATCAAATTTTGCACGTTACGAGAATCGTAAAAATAATTTTATGTTTTATCGAATAGTTACATACCGTCGCGTTAATTTCTGAAATATACTGACTTTCTCACATGATCAATGTATTTAGCACTTCATTGGTACCTGAGGACTATATTCGTTAAGAAATTACACGAAAGTTATTCTCATTCGTACATAGTTAGAAAAATATCAAACTTATCGCAATTGCTATCAGTAATATCTTGTAATCAATATAGTATTAATTCCAAATATAACAATTAAAATGTATGTTATATTGATAAAATCCCAGTGCCAATGCCAGTGCTCTTTTTCGTTCATTTTTCTCTCTTTTCTTTTTTTTTTTTTTTTTTTTTGTTTACCAGGTCAAAACAAATATTGTATACATAATCGTGAAGTCATTGGTGAATATTTTATAAAAAGAAAAAGAAAGAAAAAAAAAAGAAGACAAGCAGAATTGTTAACTAAAAAATTAAAAGTATAAGTGTAACTACATATATATATACATATATATATATATATATATATATATATATATATATATGTAGTTAATATATAATTTTTCTTTAAAAATATTTAAATACTTTAAATATTGACGATATGCTTAATATATTTTTTTTTCTTTTCTTTTTTTGTTCTTT